TCAGTATCCTGGTAGACAGGATGTTGCTATTCTGTTATGATCCGTTAGATCAGTATCCTGGTAGATAGGATGTTATATGTTGCTATGATCCGTTAGATCAATATCCTGGTAGATAGGATGTTATATGTTGCTATGATCTGTTAGATCAGTATCCTGGTATATAGGATGTTGTTATGCTGTTATGATCTGTTAGATCGGTCTGTCTGTCTATAGATTGTTATGTGATTAGCTAATATATGTGCACATGTTTGATGAATGTTTGAGGCTTATCTGCTTTGTGCAAGATTCAACAGACCTGGGCATTCTAACCCGATGGTTGTGGGCCGTGAGTATTCTATCCCGATGATGATTAGACTTGTAGTATGTGGGCATTCCAGTTCGATGGTTATGGGTCGAGGGTATTCCATTACGAGGATGACTGGACCCATTTTATATATATTGACATTCCAACCTGGGGTATTCCATCCAGATGGATTATTGGACCTGGAGGTTGATTGGACCCATAGTATTTTGTTTGTGATTATATGTGTATTGTTGTGTGTATGGATATTTTAGGGGAACTCACTAAGCTTTGTGCTTACAGTTTTAGTTTATTGTTTCATATGACTCGGCAAGGCGAATGCTTGACTGTACACAACCTCATGTTTTGGACTTATGGTTTATGAGATACTCTGATATTAAACTATTTTGAAAACATTTTGTAATAACTAATGGCTTTTGGATGATTGACAAAGTTTTAATTTGACTTGATTTTTATGGGTGTTACTGAAATACTGGTTATGAGTTTATTTGAGGTCTCGCCATACAAGGTTGTTAATGTAGCATCTTCTCCAACGAGATAGGGTTGAAGGGTATTCAGGACCAATATAATTATTTGTGCTCTTTCTTTTGGAATTTTTCTTGGGTCAGGATGCTTCAATTTAGGTTTCGAGTATGCCCTCTTCATCGTTGACTCCTTAGGGTTGGGTTTGGGGTTAAGATACTTCAAATATGTTTCATGGATATTGTGCATGAGACAAAAAGTATGATTGATGCCACCCGCTAAGTTGGTATCATAGGGGTGATTCAAATTATGGGAAATATGATGGAGTGTCGAGATGAAATATATTATCAAAAAACGTTATTTTTGGACTTTGGACCATGAGGCGTGTTATGGTAGATGGATGACGGAGATGTGTTAAACGGATTTTCGGATCCATTGTTGAGAGTGATGAGAGTGTGATTATATATATATATATATATATATATATATATATATATATATATATATATATATATAGAGAGAGAGAGAGAGAGAGAGCTAGGTTCAAATGTTTCTAGCAACTATTGTGTGCATGAATGCACAATAGGAATTTAGGAGAAAATAAATAGTTAAATAAATCATTTAATGGTATTATATTAATCTTTGCATATTTAATTATGGTAGATAATTGATATGTTGTTTATTATTCCTTTAAATATGGGATGTCAAAGTCAAAATTTGTTGGAAAAAAACCATAGCCGATTCTTCTTCTGTTATTTCGTAATATAATTGGTTTTCACGCTCATTTTCAGTTGTTTAAGTTCCGATTTCTTTTTCTTTGACTATTTAGGCGTCGAGGTTTAAACAAGTTTTCTACCGTAGCATATCTTAAACTCGTATTAGAGGAGTTTTTTTTGTTTTGTTTTTTTTTTTTTTTTTTTTCGCTTCTTGCCTAAGGAGAAGAGATGCATTGTTTTCTGGTAAGATGCGTATAATTTCATATTAAAGATCGATCGATGTTGTTACTTGTTACAGATTCATTATCTGGTGCAATTGGCATTAAGACGCTATAACTTTTAACTTATAAAACAGTTTTTTCCTTGATTGCAATGAACTCGTATAAGCTTTTATGTTGAATTTCATTCCCTTGACCACGAATCTAGGTCAACCCATAACTTTTTTTTTTCAACTATAAAAATCATTTCTAAAAGTGATACATCAAACTAAATTGATTTCTTGAATGAGACAACAACGATCCAAGAAACTGAATTGGTACGACTCACTATTTTTTTTTTTTGAAGAAACTGAAAAAACACACCACGTGTTCAATAAAATGCATAGTTGAAATCTAGGTATTTGTAACTGGAAAACAAAAGATTGTTTATATGATGTAGTAACTTGTGCTTAGTTGTAGAAATTATTTACCTAAATCCTGAAAATAGATTTTACTTCAAATTGCTTTTAGATTTTGATTTTGGAACACAATCATCAATTTTAACCAACAAATAAGTATATATGTTTATACATTCTATGTATCCTACAATTTCATAGTCCTTTTTTCTATTTAGATTGTTAGGATATTTTAATTCATCTTAATTTTGATCATTCTACTAGAATGAAATATCAAATTCTAATTTTGTCAGAATATAATACTGAATTCCTTATCAACTTAAGCAGTGAATTACCGTAACTAATTTTGTTAGAATAAAATTGGTTTCTATTATTGTTATTGGTCTCGATTCTTATAGAATGACATCCTAAATAATGAAACATTACATTCTTTCAGAATAATATACATTGCAATTTCAAGGATGATTGTTAATGTTGGTTTGTATAAATTATAGTTATATTCTATTTGAATGTATATCACATTTTATTAGAATTTATTGTTTTATTCTATTTAATGCACTAAATTTTTTAATATTTGAAAGTTGATTATGTTTTCCTTGTGAATTTAGGTTTAGAAGAGGTTGTTATTAATGTGGAAAATGAAGAAAACATGGAGAATGATATTGTATTCTAACAGAATGTATTCTGTCAGAATTTATAAAATGTTTCTTAACAATAATATTCTTTCGGAATAGAATAATGTTTTTGTTAAATTTTGATGTTTTTTTTTTCTTTTTTTAACCATTTTTAGTTTTAATCTTTAATAATAAATGTAATCCTTAAACCATTATTAGTCATAATATTTTAGAATGATTGTAATAATTGTTTATAGTCCTTTTGTTTACGGATGAATGTAAATAGTGATTCTTAAAAAATAAAATTTGTATTATTTAGAAAATGTTATTCTTGATAATATGTTGTATAATTCTTTAAGCTTGATTAATATAAAAAGTATCTTGAATGAAACAATATTCTGCAAGAATAAAACCACAAATATATTTACTACTTTATTGTTGACTTTTTATTATTATGACAGAATAACATCAGTTATTATTAAAAGTAATATTAAAATTTAATTAGAATTAATTTAAAAAATTCAAATTTTTAAAAAATAAGGGAATTAATGATCCCCTAAAATCCGAAAATTTCCTTTTTTAAAATAGGTTGATTGACAAAAATAGCTTTTTACTTAAATTTGTGTGATTATATGATACATGCTATCCTATTGTAATATCATAAACACTCAAATCATTATTGTTAATTCTATTCATCCGGTGGTCCAGATTTGTGTATTCCGTCACATGATAGTTAATAAAAATAAAATAACCTAAGTCTTTCTTTCTTTCTTTCTTTCTTTCTCTCTCTCTCTCTCTCTCTCTATATATATATATATATATATATATATATATATATATATATATATATAAGCTGGTTAAAAGTAAAAGAAAAAACATCTAATTTAAAAAATTAACATGTAAAAGTTTTTTGGGAAAAGAGAAAAGCTCACGGGTTTTTGTTGACGAATCTATGGCTTTTCGCACACAACCATATAAAGGCGTGGTGTAGTTATGCCTGACCCGATGCTACTAGCACATCACATATTCATGATATTGTTAGGGTATGTTGTCTACCTTTTTTATTGTCAGAATACACCACTCTCTTTGTTTGAAAATAACCAATGTTCTAGATAACGTAAGATGTGACTTGACGATAATGTCAAGCCTCAAACTTTTCTAAGTGTTGACGAGTCACGTCGTTTGTGAGGCGTGACATAAGACGACAATTTGTATATAATCAATATTTTTATATGTATTTTCAATTATTATTCATTTTTATAAACATATATGAGTTAAGACGGTGTTTTGGTAAAGCTTGACGACATTTACAAGTCTTGGAACCATGACGTGCCACGGCGGAGCTGTGACGAGTTTTTTAGAACCTTGAAAATAATTGACATTATGGTAGTGTCCGAGATAGAACTTTTAGTTTTTATTGTAGTTTTTGAGAATTTTTACTTTTAATCATACATTGTTAACTTTCGTCTATCCGCTATCAGCTTCTAACTTGTAACTTTCAACTATTATATGGTTTTGACAAACACGTTTTAGATTAAAATTGTATATTTTGCTTACATGGCTTCCGTGTGAACTTTTTTATTTGAATTTTCTATTTCTAGTTTAAAACTATTTTATTGTATAATACATGTTTTGTATTATATTTATAGCTATATCCTTTATATTTGTTTCCTATAGTATTATGTATTATGTAAGGGTTTATTTATTATTATTATTATTATTATTATTTTGAAAGTTGTTTTGGATAAGAGTTATTTGTTGATTGCGAAACAAAAAGCCTACGTTTTATCCATTAAAAAGAGGAGAAATATCATCTATAACCCAATTATAAAATATAAATTATTATATTAGAAAATGGATTCCATTTGAGCCCTAAATAGAAAGGTCGTATCGCCATTTCTGTTCCCATCAAAAACCGATCAGTGTTCTCTCTCTATCCCGTTTACAAGTTTTTGTCCCACTTAGACTTTAGGTCAAAATGCTAACTTTCTCCATTTGAGTTCTTCAGATCGTTACTCGTAATTGCTTTGCCAAAACTGTTCTCCAATTCCAAATCGCAAAACATTGGCTTATATTTTTTTACGCCAACGATTTTGCTTCTAATTTGTTACCAAAATCAAAACCCCTCAATTCTCTCCTCTTTGCTTGTGATCCATCCTGAAATTTCAAGCTATTGTTGTGTATATTTTTTGTTTATTTTCCTATCGATTGAGAATTTTAGGCTTTTAGATCGGCGGCTAGTTGATTGATTAGTTTTTAGTTAGGGTTGTGGAGATTTTTCGGTAGAGTTCGAAATGAATAACAACTACGCACGAGGAGGTGGGGGAAGGTATCCGCCGGGAATTGGGCGTGGTGGTGGTGGTGGGAATTATCATGGAAACCCTAATCCTAATTTCCAACAACAGTATGCTCAAAGGAATCCAGCGCACCACCAGCAGTTTCAACAGCAGCAGCAGCAGCAACAACAACAATGGCTGAGAAGAAACCCTGTGGGAAACGATTCGAGTGTGGTTGACGAAGTGGAAAAGACTATACAGTCCGAAGCTGCTGACCCTAGGTACAATTATGGTTTCATTCTCAAAAATTCTGTTTAGATTTCTATAATTATGCCTTGCTTAGTTGTTCCATTATGCTTTTCTAAGTCTAATCGTGTTTCTTCTTGCAGTGGTCAAGATTGGAAGGCACAATTGAGGCTTCCACCAGCTGACACTCGATATAGAACAGAAGTATGCTTGTGATGTTATCTATGTGCTTCTGAGTTTAATTTTGGATGCGTTACATGTGACTGTTTTACTTGAACTTTGTTTCTAATTTTGTACCATTTCAGGATGTGACAGCGACCAAAGGAAATGAATTTGAAGATTACTTTCTCAAGCGTGAGTTGCTTATGGGGATATATGAGAAGGGTTTTGAAAGGCCATCTCCAATTCAAGAAGAAAGCATCCCGATTGCCCTCACAGGAAGTGATATTCTTGCAAGAGCTAAAAATGGAACAGGGAAAACTGCTGCCTTCTGCATTCCTGCTTTAGAAAAAATTGATCAAGATAGCAATGTTATTCAAGGTTCTAAATTTAAACTATTTATTTTTTATGGTTTCTAATATCAAAATCTTTTTAGTGTTTTCTCTGAAGTTTCTCATATGTGCAGTGGTTATACTTGTTCCAACTAGAGAATTGGCTCTTCAGACATCTCAAGTCTGCAAAGAACTTGGAAAACACCTAAACATTCAGGTCATGGTTACTACTGGTGGAACCAGCTTAAAAGATGACATCATGCGATTGTATCAGCCTGTTCATTTACTTGTTGGTACTCCTGGAAGAATATTAGATCTTTCAAAGAAGGGAATCTGCGTGTTGAAAGATTGTGCAATGCTTGTCATGGATGAGGTACAGCTATTTACTCTGTATCTAATGCTCTCTAATTACATGATTTCATATAGTGTACATGTTATTTCAGGTTTTCATGTATGATAACAAAACAAAGATAGTTCTGTTTACGCATGATCTTGATTTTTGTTTTTGTGCGACTCATTAGTCATTACTCACTTTTTTTGTTAACCCAACATGCAATATTAATCAGTGGTTTACTTTTTTTTTTTTTTTTTTTTTTTTCTTTTCCCCAGGCTGATAAGCTTCTGTCACCCGAGTTCCAGCCTTCAGTAGAGCAACTAATCCACTTCATGCCTACAAATCGTCAAATTTTAATGTTTTCAGCAACTTTTCCTGTGACAGTGAAGGATTTCAAAGATAGATATCTTCCAAAATCTTATGTTATTAACCTCATGGATGAACTTACCCTCAAGGGAATAACACAGTTCTATGCTTTTGTTGAAGAAAGGCAGAAAGTTCATTGCCTCAATACTCTTTTCTCAAAGGTTTCATCTGAATTTGTTTTATTTATTATTTATTACTGTAAAGGTGTGAGTTGGAATTTTTGACTTTATTTAATTACAGCTTCAAATCAACCAATCAATAATTTTCTGCAACTCGGTAAATCGGGTTGAATTACTGGCGAAGAAAATTACTGAGCTTGGTTACTCTTGTTTCTACATTCATGCAAAGATGCTTCAAGATCATCGTAATCGAGTTTTTCATGATTTTCGTAATGGTGCTTGCAGGAATCTTGTCTGTACTGGTATATATTGCTTCCTTTTTTCTACTTTACATTATAGCTACCACAAGAAATACCAACCTACTTTCATACATATCTTACTTTTAAACATTTACGTAATGATAGCATTAAATTTCTTTTTAGAACATTATACTCTGAAAAATCTGCTTGGCTATAGTTTTAAAAAATGCTTTGTATTTTGATGACATTGCTATAGTATAATAGGGTGTGTGTGTATATATATATATATATATATATATATATATATATATATATATATTCAAAGTAGAATGTTGTAATACTTAGAGGAAATTCTATAATAGACAAGTCATTGAAAGTTTGTAGTTATATCTTTGCATTTAATCTTCTCTTTGAAGTATTATTTCATCAACTTCATTCCATAAAATATCACATACTAAGATTTTGGTTGTTTCTACTTCACAAAAGATAAATGCAATGTGCTTTCATAGTTTCAATGAAAATGCTGTTATAAATTGGGTAGATTTTTCAAAGTAGATTGCTGTAATAGGAAAAAAATGAGAGTTGGAAGTAGATTGTTATTATTATTATTTTTTTGGCTCATGATTGCAGATTTATTCACGAGGGGCATTGATATACAAGCAGTAAACGTTGTTATCAATTTTGACTTCCCGAAAAACTCAGAAACATATCTCCACAGGGTGGGTATAAATTATAGTAATTGGAAAAAGTTGCTTCTTCATTATTAAAAAACCATAAATGAATGATTCTCAAATAAATTGATTGATAGGTTGGTCGATCAGGAAGGTTTGGACACCTTGGGTTAGCTGTAAACCTAATCACATATGAAGATCGCTTTAATCTGTATGCTGCATCCCTAGTTATTCAACTTTTTCTTTTTTGACATATGTCCTTCCTATTTTCATGAATCAATGTAAATTTGAAAATCTTTATTATTCATCTTTTTTTTTTTTTTTTTTTTTTTTTTTTTTTTTTTGTTGTTTTCAGGTATAGGATTGAACAAGAACTTGGAACTGAGATAAAACAGATCCCTCCATTCATTGATCAAGCTATTTATTGTCGCTGAAAAATTAATTAAAGATTGTTGGGTGAGTTTAATAACCAAAGATATATTTTAAAATATCATTGATTTTCTAATAATTTTTTGATCTACTGAATGGAAGGTGTCAGCTGTCTCTCTGTCTGTTTAAGGAAAGGACCCAAAGGTACACACACTTCAAATGGTCTCAACTTTGAAGACAACATGAATTATTTTGTGATTCGGGAAAAAACTAAGGACTTGTTTCTTTAAGACATTAGAATTTACCCTTTTTTTTTTTTTTTTTTTTTATATTTTGTGACATGATATGTTTTGTGCTGTGTTGTGTTGTGAGGAAGGAGTTTGGTATGTTGTTAGTCAAGTCAACCCAAGAGAAGACTAGTAGTTTCTTTAATGACTTACTGACTTTGTGCATACATTTGGATTTGGTTGGTTGTTTTCTGGTCTTAAGATTATCAAATTATCCTGATTCCTTACCTTTGGGCACTGTTTTTTTTTTTTTTTTTAATGCTTGAAGGTCAGTTTACAAATGATGACCTTGTACTTGTACTGTGTTGGGGATATCTTGGACGGACTGATAGACTTTGACTCACCCACCAATATCAATTAGACAAAAATTGCTAACTTTTATTGAGCTCTTAAAAAGTTAAATACTTGGAAGTTAGAGACGAAATTGCTTGTAAAAAGAAGAGCTATTAAAACATATTGAAACAAACTGGTTCGGTTCTACTATGAATGAGCGAAAACAAGAATAAAGTACAATTAATATGTTTCTGCCCTTACAAATCATGAAGAAGTCTGTTATAGACTAAGCAATAACAATGAATTAAAGACTCAATGATGTGTATTGCTGCTGCATAAACCTCATAAACTGGTGAGGGATTACAAGGAAATAAGATAGAAAGATAGTAGTAGCTATTTCAGATACTATAGTCTCCCAAGGAATACAAACTTCTAAGAATAATGATGATGTATTCAACTAAGGTTGTCTCCCCTATTATTAGGGCACAAATGATAGTCGGGACTCCAAATTCCCAATTTGCCCCTGCTCCTCCATTACCTCTGCAGAAGGGCAGGTGGTCCTCTTTTCCTTTGGAATCTTTTTCTGTTTTTTTGTTATGTTGTGAATTTGAGTGGTGGGTGCATAAAATTCAATGTTTTAAAACCCGGATCGACCCGGCCGGTTCAACCGGTTAGACCGTGACCCGGGTAAAAGGCATGTCAATAGAGAATGATTTTCTGTAAAAATACGGACCGGATCGAACCGGCCGAGTTTTCCTAACATTTTGTGTAATCAAGAAAAGTCTATAGAACCTTGCTTCCAATTTTTAGAAGGGCCTGGGTCCATTGATTGTTGCATGTAGGGTTGCAATTAGAGTAACATCCCTTCTGTTTTTATCTGCCAAAGCCTTCATCTTTTGTTGAGCTTGCAACAGATGACTTTTTAGGTTGTCCAATATGTCATCTCTCTCAAGGAGCTGGTCTTTCACCACCATGACTGTCATGTCTCCTTTTTGTATCTTAACTACCCGGGGCCCGGTCCCGACCATACAGGGCTTTAAAAGGAGTGGTTTTACCAGCTGTGTGGTAAGCAGTGTTTTGGCAAAATTCTGCTCAAGCAAGTCACTTGCTCCATGTTTTGGGCTTCCCTTGGACGAAGCAACGGAGGTAGGGTTCCATAACCTTTTTGACTATCTCCGACTGACCATTCGTTTGTGGGTGGTAGGTAATGCTCATCAGTTGGGTACCTTGCAACCTGAAAAGTTTGTTCCAAAAATAACTCATAAAGATCTTATCCCTATTGGAAACGATTGAGATTGGGAACCCATGTAATCTAACGACTTCCTTGATGAAGGTGGCTGCAATGGAGGTGGTTGTGTAGGGATGTTTTAGAGCAATAAAATGGTAGTGCTTAGTCGATCCACAACCACCAATATGGAGTTGTATCCATCTGATTAGGAAGACCCTAAATAAAATCCATCGACACTTCCTCCCATACCTGATCCGGAATGGGTAACGGTTGTAACAATCCAACTGGATGTGTATTGGCAGAATTCTGAGTTTGACACGTGATGCACTCTTGAACAGATTTTTGCAATGTCTTCCTCGTGCCCACCCAAAACCATTCCGAAGCCAACCTTTGGAAGGTTCGGAATTCTCCTGCGTGCCCTCCAATGGTTGAATTATAGAACTCCTTGAGCAACAACTTGATAAAATAGGATTTTTGGGGAATAACTATCCTGCCTTTTAAAAAGGTATCCCTTTTTCCAAGGTATACCTTGTGTGTCCCTTTCCTCCTTCAATTATATCTTCTTTGACTTGTTGGATAAACGGTCCAATGCTACTTCCTTTTCTAATTCATCCATCGGTACTGAGCACCCTGATTGCAGGCCTGTAGTTCCGTGGTCACGTTGGACCCAGTTTGTACCGTATTTCGAATCCGAACCCAAGAATCTTGTACATCCACTTTTGATATTCCGATCCCACTTCTCTTTGTCCCATCAGAAATTTTAGATTGCATTGATCTGTTCTGATAATGAAACGCCTCCCTAAAAGATAGTGCCTCTATTTTCTTATTGCCAACACGATGACCATTAATTCTTTCTCATAAATAGAGTTCAATATATTTCTTTCCGCAAACACTTGGCTGTAATAAGCATGGGTGCCCTTATTGTATCAGGATTGCCCCTATGACATCCCCAAAATCACGGCCAGAAAAGACCGGTTTTGTTTATACTTTATTTCAAAATCAAAGTTATCTTTTAATAAAAGGGTTGCGGAATTTGTCCCAAAACAATAATATGATAAAGATTTATCAAAAGCATTTCCATAGAAATGTATTTCATTAAAAGACTCGGGATGTCATGTTCGTACAGATCAAAAGTATAAACAGTACAATATAAGCCTTACTACATTATTTCATATCTACAGGCCTATATCCGTAATCCCTCGTCCAAAACATCACACCTATGCTCATGCGCCACTACCTGTAATGCATAAAACTGAGTGGGTCAGGCTTGGGAGCCTGGTGAGCACATAGGGTTTTCAACCCACAATAAATAAGTTTATTAATTTCATCAATCAACAATAACCCGATTACCCGTTCCCGTTATCCTCACTTTACGTCCCTAAACACCGATCATAAGGGACCTAGCCTAAGGATCATCATCGGGACGAACAATACTGCTAAGGGGATTCCTCAGCAATAAATGTCCTAATAGGCAACCATGTGGGGGGATGGAGTACACCGGTGAACACATCGTTCACAACACCTACAGGTTGCGAGCCTGCTAGTGTTCCACTGGACTGTCTAGAAGAGTCCGTGGTCGTCATCTATACTCCGCTAGATGACTGGATCAACAACAACATCGAGGCCTCTCATCATTTTATCACACATCACCTATTACATCTACCCATGTTTTACCCCAACATTTTCGTAGATATAAAATACATATACAGTTTAAATCATTGAAAACATGTATAACAACGTTCATCTAACGTAGATAGCAAGTATTCAGATAATATGCACACATAGCACGTAATTTATATAAAATACTTCATATCTATGTGTAAGCTGAAAGTAACTATGCACTCACTTGAAAAGGTGGTGATTCCGAACTCAGACAGCGCTTCGCTTCTTAAATAGAATTTTCTTCGACGAAACCTAGTATTATTACCACTAGAGTTTAGTCTATTATTCGCCGAGACTAATTAATAGTCTAGCTATTATTATTATTATATAAGCGTTAAAAAAATACTTATATAACCCATAATAATAGCCCAAGTATTTATTATAAGTTCATAATAACAATACTAATTTTAAATATAAGCTATATTAAAATAAGGTAAGCATAACTTACTTACAATGGGGTTTTAGCTAGGAGTCGGGCTCTGCAGGGGCAGAACTTCGTCGCTGAATCTTTCTAAGAAAGATTCGTGCAGCGCTTCAGCGCTCACCTTACTATACTAAACTACAGAAAGAGAAGTCGAATCACGAGGGACCGAAATGCTCGGGGGATAAGGAGAGAAAGACTCTTGAATCAAGAGAATGGTGCAAGAAATATGAGAGCCCAAGGCTCTTATTTATACTAATTGAATTTTCAAAAACTACCCTCCATAATTACTTAATGACCTTTTAGTTATATAAACAACTAAACACCCCTCTATAATACTATTTTAAATGGATTTAATGATATTTGTACTAAACTAATGTCGAAAGAACTCAATATTAGTCTTATAATGACCGCATCGTCGATACCTTTCTAATGATATATACATATGTATATATATGTGTACGTATACATGATTTATACTTTATTTTAATACGTAAATATGCTATTATAATTTGTAACTCGTTCATACGAACTCCGTTTTTGACGTTATTTATATCCACGCGTAGGTAAAATCAAGATCTACAACTTTCGTTTAGACTCTGTCGGCTAATTCTCGACCGATCTCAAATTTAACAGTAGGAGGAGTTTAGACTGTTAAATGACCGCGAAGAGTTCATAACTCCTTCATACGGACTCCGTTTTCGTCTGTCTTTTTACCTTTGAGTTCCTATTAATGAGATCTTCAACTCTCATTTAGGTCATGTAAGCCAAAAACCGCTCGAACTAAAATTCGAGTTTCAGGTCGTGCACTGCTAAGCCGAATCTTAGAAAAAATCATAACTTTTTCATACGAAGTCAGATTTGGGCGTTCTTTTATCGATGTTCTTAGTTTAACATATTCTACGACTTTTGTTTAGATTGCTAAGGCTAAAAAGTCTCTTATCGTAAATTCACTATTTACGTCTCCCGGTGCCGTGCCGGTTTTGCCGTAAAACTTCGGCGGGCCATAACTTCTTCGTTATAGCTCGGATTTTGGCATTCTTTATATGTACGGAAACCTTGAGACGTATTCTACACAATTTATGTAGAGATATCGGGATTATCTCACACTTTAATTTTGACGCTCATTTTTATTCTTTATTAATTATACATTTATAATTAAATAATAAACACATAAACACACATAATTCACATAATACTCAAATATTTTATATTTATTACTTCAAAAAGAGTTACAATAGTTGACCTAGACTATTACATTGA